CCCCCCCCCAACCGCTTGTAGCTCTGTCCCATGGCCCTCCCTGTCCCGGCTGGTCAGCACCTGCCTCAGCCCCATTCCCTCCCTCAGTGTAAAAGCCTTTATCTGCATCTGTCCCCCAACTCCCACCCCTTCCACCACACCAGACTCACCAGTTGGATGCAGCTCTTCAAGCTGAAGAGCTACATATCAGAAATTGGATCAGTATTGTCTGATATGCCTCCTTTAAAAAAAAAAAAAAAAAAAAATCGGCTATCGTATCGGCCCCACAAATCTCTATCGGTGCACTCCTGCTAGATCACGTTCCTATTACAAATTACAAGGTCAGAAACCTGCTAGGTACCTAGACAAAGGAGGCCTTGATCCCAGCAATTCTCCTTTTCCAAGCTTCCCTTTGGAAATGTAGTCTTCAGCAAATTGCTGGACATTAATAACACCCTGGGAATTGAGTACGAGTTGAAAGGTACTGAGTACCCTTCAGAATCAGGCTCTAAAGTATGGACTGTCATCACAGCAATGTATTTGTGTAAACTCGAGGCTTAGTGAAAAGAGACAAGAGCTGAACTTCAGAATCAGGTACCTACATCTGTTTTTGCTGGAAAACCTAAGGATCTCTGGGGGTTTCAGGTCCCTAAATCGGTTAGGACAGCTTCTATTAATTGCCCTCTTGGATTTAGATGCCTAAATTCCATTCAACTGCCATTTGGGTCCTTGGGTTCCTTTGTGAATCTCACCCAGTTTTGTTCACACTCACAGAACAAGTATGTGACCCAGCTCACAACAGAACCCAGCTCGTGATTCACAATTGTTTGCTTTACCACACTCCCTAGGTACAAAAGAAGAAAGCCCAAGATCAGTCCCACTGAAAGTTAGAAAAACCTATATAAACACATGAAAATACATAGATTTTAAGGCCAACATCCTCATGGCTTTGTCAGGAATGATCAAGAGAGAGGAAGTTCAAAAGAATTTGCAGGAAGTGTATTTAAAAATAGTATACATCTCACCGGCACCCATTCACACAATTCATATCCTGTTGATGGAAAGGCCTTCTCATCATCCTTTGCCTCGACCTAAGTTGACCAATCAACTTCCTGTATTTCCAGAGTGGTAAGGTATTGCTGAGCCCCCTTTTCAGAGCTGGAAGCCAAACTGTGGGGCCCTTCTTTTCAAAGTTACCAGTTGCTATAGGTTAGCCTGAGTTCCTGACCTGGATTAGCCATTTAAAGTACATTGCTTCAGTTATACCAAACTATAATATTGGCACAAATTGACTAGCTCTTCGCAGTTGTTCTGACATGATGAGACAAACGGAAGTCTTGTTTCTTCTCTACTGGCAACTCCACCCAAACTTACCAAGTGTCTCACTTCTATTTTTGTTTAAGACCTAGGCTCTTCAATTCTGAGAGAGGATGTTTTGTTCAAGTGTGGGAATTCAGCTCTTAATAAAAACTCATGACATTTGAGGTAAGTGACAGGGAAGTTTTATTTTACAAAGTCACGGAGGTTAAAAGGTATAAGAAATCTTGTCAGAAGCAAGGTGAATGTGGGGCCATTCCCAATTCTGTCTTACTATGAGGATAAATATACTCATGTACCCTTTGTAAATCCTCTATTTTATGTATGTAATGTTGAGTTCACAGAAAACTTGACAGGGGCTAAGGCAAAAAAGGTAGAGTTAAGTATATCATTGCACCCTTTGGGAAATACTAGATGGAATACCAAAGCACAATATAGCAAGCTTAAGAGAAAAAAAATCAGATTTACATTCTGGATTGTTTTGTCCTTTAATTTTTTTTTTAAGTCACTTGTGTAAGTTTGGGATATATTTTAGAGAGAGAGAGAGAGAGAGAGAGAAATATATAGGAGACCCTCGCCATTCATGGGGGATCTGTTCTGCAGATCCCCGCAAATGGCGAAATCTGCGAATACTGACATGGCTTCCTGTCAGACCCTACAGCTACCTCCTGATTGCCCCTTGGGAGAGGCTGGAAACGTGGGGCTCCCCCACAGCACCTGGGGACTGACCGCGACTGCTTCCAGGGGAGAAGATGCTGTCGCCACCCCCCTCCCTGGTGCTCACTCTCCTCCTGCTCGGCTCTGCCCTTCCCTCCCCGTCTCTTGCGGCACTCCATGCCTGGCTTAACTGCAGAGGCAGGAGCTCAGTGCAGCGCCAGAGGGAGCCGCAGCGGCACTCACCCAACCTGCCTAGTTGGTGTGGTGCACCACAAACATTCGAATCAGCAAACAGCATATTCGCAAATAGCAAGGGTTCCCTGTTATATATATATACATATAGATATAAATAGAATATCTAACTAAAGATATATTTAAGAATTTTATATATATTTTAAGAATACTTAAATCTCACCCTGACATCAAAATGCATCTCATATGACAACAGTTTGGAATAGGCTAGGGTGTAAATGACAGAAGTAATGAAGATGACTACAAAGGCATATGGGCTAATTCCTGTCCTCATCTTTGCTTTATAGATTCCAGTTTTCACCAACCCCTCCTCTTCCTTCCTTCCTTGTAGCAACCACACAAAAAAAGAAAAAAAAATAGTAGGATTAAAACAATGTTGGCAAGCAACATATAACCAAAATTAGAATTATTAAAAAAATGGGGATAAGAGAGGTAATATGATTGATATGTCTCTCAAATTACAAAAAAAATATTTTGCTCATTTTCATATTCATCAGCATTCTCAGATGCTGAAATAAAACAGTACTCAGTGAAAGTGGCCAGTTTAGTTTCTTTGCCTCAGTTGCACAAAAAAGTTAACAGTATCAATAGTATCACCGTCATAGTACTTACGGTTGGAAGGGATCTAAACAGATCATCAGGTCTGACCTCTGCCCCAGCCAGGGACGGGTGCTGGACTCATATCACCTCAGCCAAATATCTGTCCAGCCTCCTCTTGAAGACCCCCCAAGGTAGGAGAGAGCACCACCTCACTTGGAAGCCCATTCCAGAGCCCGGCAGCCCTAACCATAAAGTAATGTCTCCTGATGTCCAGCCTGAACCTTCCCTCTAACAATTTGTGGCCATTATTCTTTGTTATCTCAGGTGGTGTGCGGGGGAACAGAGCTTCCCCCCAATTCCTGCTGGTTCCCCCCTGGTGAGTTCGTAAATGGCCACCAGATCCCCTCCCAGCCTTCTCTTGTGGAGGCTGAATAGGTTCAGGCCCTTTAGCCTCCCTTTGTAGGGCCTGCCTTGCTGCCCCTTGACCATGCGAGTGGCCTTCCTCTGGACCCTCTCAATGCTAGCCACATCCCTCTTGAAGTGCGACACCCAGAACTGGATGCAGTACTCCAACTGTGGCCTGACCAATGCTGCATAAAGGGGAAGGATTGCCTCCCTGGACCTGCTTGTGATACATCGGTAGATGCATGACAAGGTGTGGTTAGACTTACTGGCCGCTTCCTTGCATTGGTGGCTCATGTTCATCCTGGAGTCAACAATGACTCCAGGATCCCTTTTTGCCACTGTGTTGACAAGAAGGGTGTTCCCCAACCTATAGGTGTGTTGCTGGTTCCTTCTTCCTAGATGCAGTACCTTGCACTCATCTGCATTGAACTCCATCCTATTCTCATCTGCCCACCTCTGCAACCTGTCTAGATCTAGCTGGATTCTGTCTCTCCCCTCCAGCGTGCCCACCTCGCCCCACAACTTGGTGTCATCAGTGAATTTGAACAGTGTGTTTTCCACACCCACATCCAGATCGCTGATAAAGATGTTGAACAGTACGGGCCTCAGAACCAAGCCCTATGGGACTCCACTGCCCACATCCCTCCAGGTCGAAAACGACCTGTCCACCACCACTCTCTGGGTGCGACCATCTAGCCAGTTTCCCACCCATCTGACTGTGTAGCCATCAATGCCACAGTCACCATGTTTTTTAAGAGAATGTGGTGGGAAACCATGTCAAAGACCTTCTGAAAGTCCAGGTGACAACCACCCCGACACCCTTGTCCAGGCACTTTGTGATCTGATCATAAAAAGAAATCAGGTTAGTCAGGCAGGACCTGCCCTCAGTGAACCCATGTTGGTTGCCCCTGAGCTTTACTTCCCCTGCTGGACCCTTGGAGATGTGCTCTTTGGTCTTCCCAAGGAGTGAGGTAAGACTGACTAGCCTATAATTGCTGGGGTCCTCTTTTCTCCCCTTCTTGTAAATGGGGACCACATTGGCCCTTTTCCAATCCTCTGGTACCTGGCCAGTGCCCCACAAGCGCTCATAGAGCCATGCCAGGGGTCACACTATGACCTCCGCCAATTCCCTCAGCATCCTTGGGTGAAAACCATTTGGACCTACTGCTTTAAACGTGTCCAGCCCCTCCAGTAAGTTCCTGGAGTTAGTTAAGTTCCCAGAATTAGTTAAGTTCCCTAACTAGGTCATCCCTGACCCTAGACATAGCAGTGCCTCCCCAGGGTCTGTCCACAGTTCTAGTGGGGCAGATGTCCTGGTCCCTATTCAGGAATATGGAGGCAAAGAATTCATTAAAGAGGTCAGCTTTTTGATTTGCCACAATCACCAGATTGCCAAGCCTATCCTGTAGGTGCCCCATATTACCTGGTGCCTTCTTCTTACTTCCTATGTATTTGAAAAAGGACTTTTTATTATTCTTAATTCTGGTTGCTAGCCATCTCTGCCTTGACCTTCCTAACAGCCTCCCTGCAGTCCCGAACAACGGAGGTGTAATCCTGCTTGGTGATGGCCCTTTGCTTCCTCTGCTTGTACACCTCCTTTTTTGCCCTCAGGCATCCCTGGATGCCTTTGCCGAGCCATGGGGGCTTCTTAGCACTTCTGCCCTGCTTGGTGTGCATTGGGACCAACTCCCTTTCATCTCCTTGAGGAACACCCACCCGTCTTGGACTCCCATCTCATTGAAGCTCTGAGACCCCAATGCCTCTCCTACTAACTTTCTTAGCTTACAGAAGTCAGCCCTCCTGAAGTTGAGGACCTCTGCCTTGCTGCTTGCTTTCACCACCCTGCACTGTATAGTAAATTCCAGCAGGCAATGATCACTGTTGCCCAGGTAGTCGAGTACCTGCAGACCCCTCACCAGGCTGTCACCTGTGGCAAGGACCAAGTCCAGCAAGGCATTTCCCATGCACCTCCTGGCCCTGTATCCTGGCTAGGAACCTATGTGAGCGGGCAGACCTGGCTGACTGCTCCTCCCAGCAGATGTTTGGGTAGTTCAGGTCACCCATGACAACCACATCCCTTGACTTTACTGCCTCCATGAGCTGACCTGAGAATTCCCGGTCCAGCTCGTCCCCCGGTGAGGCGGTCTGTAGTAGACGCACACTATCAAGTCCCTTTCCCCACACCCCACTTGCATTCTTACCCAGAGCACCTCAGTTTCTCCCTTTTCCGACCCCATCCTGATCACTGAGGATGGGTGATCATCAAGGGTGACTTTGAAGTATTATTAGGAACATGTAAATATTTTTAAAATTATTTTAAATCCAAACAAAATCACATTAAATTGGCTCAATTTTTTCTGAATCTATTCTTCCTGCACAGGTTTGTTATGGAAGGGGTGGTGTGTTTACTAATGAGAAGTATACTCCTGAAATTATGAGCAATGTCCTTTTTGTTTTAATTGAAACCACATATACTTGCATATGTATTATGTTAAAACTGTATAAAAACTAAATTTCAATTAATGCTTTTACATATGAAGCTACAAATCCAACAAGCAGTCCTAGCAGTAGGCTATTGTTGACCCTTCTGGATCACGGTGTATACATGAGTGGTCACTGGGACCTTCGACATGCATGCCTAGGCAGGAGCATGGAGGAGTTGAGGCTGCCCAGACCTTCCTCCCCAGCTTTAGACCATAGAGGCAGAAACTAAAGGCCAGACCAAGTCCAAAAGTTTGGTGCCTTGATGGCTGTAGTGCTGTTTGGTGCCACAATTGCTTTGCAACATTTTGCATTGTGTGTGGCAGAGCTAAATGACTCAAGAAACAACAGTTTGCTTTGATCCAGCAGATTTTTTTTAAGCCAGGCTGCACTAACAGATTTCTTAATAATTTGCTCGGCCACTGATTCAGCAAAATACATAAGCATGTGCTTAACTTTAATCACATGCCTTCAACTTTTCATGTGCTTAAAATTAAGTGTTCTGGTGCATCAGAAATCAAAAAGAATACAAAGAGTGCTTCATTGGTATTTGGAAAGGATGGCAAATTATCCATTTTTTAAAATCTCAGTCCTTGAGAAACAAGATCATTAAATGAAGAAGGAAGAACAGTGTGGATTTATTACTCTGATTTAAAACCAAACTTATCTGTGGAAGGGTTGCTTGCCCAAGGGGGCTGGACCTGATTATCTCGAGGTCCCTTCCAGCCCCTAACATCTATAAATCTGTGAAACAGAAAAAATCCCTTAAACTTATTGGTAAATATTTGTAATAATAAATGATTTCCCTTCCTTTCAGCATAAACTCTACACATACCTCATAACTAAATAATAGTTTAGGGAATGCAGTCAAGATAACAGCAGGCTACACACAGGGTGGTGGCATCAAAACTAAATTTTTAAGACAAGAAGTACACTGGTTTAGAAATATAGTATGAGATGGCTCCCAGGCCCAAGAAGCAACTTTCAGCTAGATTATTTATATACTGGCATTCAACTTGTTAAGGCAAGCAATGGAGCAGTAAGAAAATAAATCTTTTTTTACTTCTCTTATTTGAAGAAAAAAGGCTCACTTAAATTTGGCTTTAATTATTGCCTCAAATCCCATAAACATTTATGCACATACGCATACATCTGAACAGGTTTAAACTGTACATAAGCATTTTCAGGATTGGAACAAGTAAGGAAACCATGTTCAAGATTTCAATGCATACTTGCACGTAAGGGAAGAGGAAAAGACTTAGACAAATAAACATGGGAAGACAACTGGATTGACTATATAAGTAAAGATAAGGGTGAGTCTAAGTGTTTGCAAGATCTGGACCTTAAGTGTTTTAACAGGAAAACCACAATAGTAAGGATCCTTTTAATTGTTTTATATTGCTATTAAAAGAATAAGCATAAGCAACAGAAGCACTGCACAATTTGAAGGAGGACTTAAGTGAACTTTACAGACATAAGAACAGGTCAAAATTCGAACCTGGTAGCCTCTCTACTACTCCTTGAAAACTACAGAACCACTGTGCTGGGGGAAAAGTCTTTAGTACAATTTATGAGGAAAAAATGAAAAAAGGGTTTTTCAGCTTTGTATAATTAGCGTGTGAAATAACTATGGATTTTTTTTATACCCTAGACAAGGGGTGGGCAATTATTTAGGCCGGAGAGTTTTGGTGAGCTGTTGTGAGCTGGATCAGTACCCTGGCCCTTCCCTGCAGCCCCACCCACCCAGTTACCCTGGGCCAGGCTGGACCAGCACCCCTCCAGTACCCTCCCTGGGCTGGACCAGCACCCCCACCTCCAGCCACAACATCTCACCAAAACTTCTGGAGTGGCTTTGCCCTGGGGCCCAGCCCCGTGCTATCACCCCCAGGCCATCCTGACCGCAGCCCCAGGGTCTCCATGGAGACAAGCCTTGTACCTACATGGGCAAGGCATGCTTGGCTGAATGGATGGGATGGGGTAGTGGGTGGGTGAGAAGCAGCACCCCCAGACATGGGTCTGGGGTGCAAAGGCACCAGAACTGGGACCAGCAGCAACACTAGTGGCAGCAGCCAGAAGGAGCCACCACTGGGGCTGCTGGGAATCGGAATCTGATCACTGTACTACCTCAGCTCCACTGCGCACCCAGGGGCAGTGGGACTGGCTACACACCCCACAGCTCAGGCTGTCCCCCATGCCTGGGCCAGGTGGGCAGACATAAAATCCCTTGGTGGGCTGGATCTAGCTCACTGGCTGTATTTTACTCACCCCTGCCCTACACAACTGCAGAGTCATAAGAAACCCCTCTAGTTCCAAGTAAATATTTGAAGTAACAGAAGAATTTCTGAACATCCCCCAAATCTGCTTTTAAAGGTATTTTTAAAAAGTCTATCTTTAATTGGTGCAATTTCTATTAAAATCTATCAAAAAACTTTAATAAAATTTATCCTGATGAACAGATCCAGATGAACAGACAAGTGGCAGGAGCTGCCCCCCACCCTTTCCTGTGCCCCCCAGAAGAGCTGTGGCTCACGCCCGCCCTGGCTGGGCAGTGCCTAACCCAGCTCCACTCCCTCCCTCACCGCAGGGGACATTGATGTGCCCCCCCACATCCCTTCCCTCCCTGTCCTCCCATTTTACCACAACACACTTATCAGCTTATCAGCTGATATTTAAGGAGGCATATCGGCCATCGGTATCTGCCCCTAAAATTGCTATTGGTGCACCCCTATAAACCAGTGATATTTGCTTTATAGCTCTAGGACACTAGGGCTACAGACAAACAGTCAAAAAACCAGAGGCTGAATTGAGTCAATCTTTGAAGCTTAGTCTAAACTGCATAGATTGAACCAATAAGCAATTGAACAGACATTCATTTTTGAAACCGCAAAGGCAACCAGATGCCTGCAGTGGCCCATACCACTAGCTGGGGGGTGAAAAAGCACACCTCCCAACCTGCCAGCCACTGCAGAAAGGAAGGGAGGGAAGTTGCGAGGGAAACCCTCAGAGGTATCCCCCCGCTGGGTACTCAAGCAGAAGGGGGCAAAAGGGGTGGCAAGGGCCGAGCCCAGCCCAGCCCAGAGGGCTGAGTACATGCATGGGGAGGTTTAAACCCCCACCCTGGCAACCCCATCTGGGATCTGCATGGTGGGGGTGGAAAGGTAAGCCCTCAGAGGCTTGCCCCACCTCTCCCAAATCTCTGTTCGACCAGGGAGGGGGCAATGGGGAGGACACACACAAATCTCTGAGACCTTCCCTTCTCCCCTCACCACCACCAGGCAGATTGCAGCTGGGGTCTAGTGCTAGGGTTTTTCCCCCCTACCCTCTTTTCTGTCAGCCACAGCAGTGATATGACTCTGACTATGGAGCAGAATGGCAGGGCAGACAGTACAGTACTACAAAATGTCCTGGGATGCTGGAGGACTGAGAGTTAACTTGAATCGGGAGGGGATCTGGGACAGAAGAACCATAAACTGGTCTGATCTAAATCAGTTAAGTCTGATACTACATCCAACCAGGTTTGTCATAGACTGTTTTTTGCCATTTTTAAAGTAATTTATGTCACTGGACTATTGTTCTGTTACAACTTTAAACCAATTTCTGATCACTTAATCCAGTTCGTGTATAACGGCTGTCCTTAGCCTAGCTATCTGTTCTATATTATACATACCAGGTTTATTTTTTTAAGGGTAAATATCAAACTACACATAATTTCAAACCAGATAGAAGTGTTTTATTTTATCAAGGTTTGTGTCATCAACTAGTGAGAGAGGGTTCGCCATGTTAATATGAAATGAGGCAGAGGGTGTGTAAGAGATGCACCCTGTAGGCTAACTAAATAAGATATTTATCAAGCAAAAACTACTCTGAATTCAAGGTCACAAAAGCTTGTGCTATATATGTTAGTTAGTTAGTCCACGAGTTGTCAGCCAGGGTTATGCATACCCCTGGGGGTAACTGGAATGGTTCTAGGGGGTATGCGCAGGTGGGCAGAGATGGAGCACTGCTGCCTCCCAAGGCCAGGGCTAGGGCTAGGGCCAGGGCCAGGGCCAGGGCCAGGGCAGCATGCAAACTTCCCTGCCCTGCAGAGGGGTGCCACGGCTCCTGTTCCGCCCCAGTCCTGCTCCTGGGAGGTGGCGGTGGCGCTCTATCCCTGCCTGCCCTGCGCACCATCCCTGCCTCCCCGCTCTGTGTTTGGCTGCGTGCCACCCACTCCCTACTCTGCATCCAGCCGCTGGGGGTACTCAGACTAAAGAAGGCTGAAAACCCCTGAGTTAGTTTCTAATATGCTGATCTTCCCTGCTGGCCTCAACTAGTGACAGGCCTCTTGGCTATCCCTGGTTACATTTACTTGAAGTGAGTTACTGCTCAAGGTTAGTGGGCATGTTACTGTAGCAAAACTGAAGTATATTTGTCTTGGGTGGTGGCATTTGCTACTTAATTTTTCATAGGAGAGGGCCAGGAGTGGCTGGAAGATCAGTTAGCAGGTGAGTGGCAGAAAGATCTTTACCATGGAGAGGGAGATAATGGGGCAGAGATATCTACAATGAAATGGAGGCAACAGAAAATGGGTCCTCTTTGACAGGAGACAGGCAGTCAGCTTTTGTTCCTATGAAGTCAGGACAAGGTGGCACCTACCGGACTAAGGAGTTAAGAGAGGTTTTCTCTTTGGTAGACTACTTCAGTTGCTGCCCCTGAGGTGGGAAATCACTGGCATGTAATCCAGGTACTGGAGCCTTTATCAGGTAACCGTGGGGCAGATGGGGACATGACAGGGACCTTATCCATACGTCTGTGTCTGTGTAGGGGGTGTGCACGCATGCCTGTGTCTGCGTGGACGTGTGTGCGCCTGCTCACGCCTGCCTGTCTCTACGGGCCTGCGTATGCACAAGTGCCCATCTCCCTGGGCCTGTGTGTGGGCGAGGAATATCCCAAAAGTGCGATATTCACCCAGTCAAGAGATGCTTCCGCGCGGAAGGGACGGGTGCCCGGGGGC